AACTCTGCCTGGGAGGACGGGAGGGAACTTCTCCTGCTTCCTGAGGGGGTGGGATGAGGCTAGAGGGGAAGCCCAGAGGAAGAGCTTCCAACTGGAATTCTGTCCTGTATTCCTTATGGTGGCTGTGGAGTAGTGTAGAAGGCATCTCCCAGAGGCCACACCGTTGCCTGGGAGGCCATTTGTTGATCAGGGCACTGGAGGAATCACCCTCCAGCCTCTGTTTCTTTGGGCTGCACAAAGTTCACCAGGTCAGAACTGGAGGTGGGCTCCGGGGCTGTGATCCTAGCTGGAATGTGCCACAATAGAGCCTGCCGGGGTCTGAGCCTCCAGATATCCAGGTGTCCTTCCAGGGCAGCCTTCTGGCTTTGGGTGTTAATCCTCCCGGGACTGTTTGTCCTGGATTGAAGCCCCCTTAGGGTTGGATGGGATGGGGAAGTGCTAGGATGAGCTTGAAGACTCCCCAACCAAGGGTCCCTGGATAAAACAGGAAATAACTCAGATTTGAATCCCACTGCCAGTGAAACCCCATCCCTAACTCTCAGTAACTATGAGGGAATCACCCTCACCATTTTAATGCTGAATCTGCGAGGTGCTTTCAGGACCTCCAAAAGGAGACGCAGGGGTGGGGCTTCACCGGCAGCTTTTACCTCCTGCCTGGAAGCTTCTCTCAACTGTGTGGGGAGCTGTGACTACAGGCTCCCACCTTTCTGGTCCTGGAAGGTCATCTGAGAGTGTTGCCTTGAGGCCTAGAGCTCCCCTTTATCTAAATTGAAAAGGAGATGGAAACTTAGATAAGAGTAGAAGGTTCTGTAGTCTTGGGCAGCAAGCTCCTCTCTAGAAGGGAAGCTGGCAGAAATGCAAATCCAGATGAACACAGCCTTATGCGAGTGACCTCCAGACTTTGGGGATTGCTAATAACCATTTTCTTTGAGGACTGAGCATCAAGCCCAACGTATCCCTGCAGCTGCTTTAGTGGATCCTGACCTCCCATCCCAAAACCTCCAAGAAAAAGGTGGTCTCTGTGCTGGGGGCAGGGGGGGCGCAGTGAGGAAGAAGGCAAAAGGAAGGGTGGTGAAAAGACAGAATTAACACTAAGAATGGAATAAAAGGGGAAAAAGCTGTATTGAAGCAAAGCAGGGGCAGAGGGAGCCCGTGAGCTGAGTGGGCCGGGGACTGGGAGAAGGAGTGAGGAGGCAGGGCCGGCATGCCTCTGCTGCTGGCCAGAGCTCTTTTCACATTGTGCTACTGTCTGCACCTGTCACTAGCAGTGCAATGTTAAAAGGGCATTGGCCGTGTAGTGCTACCCAGCGCTGGCTGCCTCCTCAGCATTGCAATTCCCTCTCCCATCTGGGCACCAGTCAGCTACCCTGGTGGGAATCTGGGAAACCTCACTTGGTGGTTATACTAATAGCTCACATTTATGGAGCTACTTCTGTGTGCCTTGCTTGTGATAGACACTGCCTCTGTTACTGTAAACCCTAATAACTTCTTGGGAGGTAAAAGCCCCATTTTATGGACGAAAAAACTGAGGGTCGGAAAGGTTTAAACAGTTTGGCTAAGACTGTATAGCTCTTAGGTTGCAAAGCCTAGATACAACCCTGTTTTAAGTCTTGACAGCTCACTCATCTTTTTGTAGACCCATCTGGAGAGATCTGAGTAGGTTCTTTAAACTGGGAGATGTCCTGAGCTGAGGGGTGGAAGGTTTTGATGCCATCTGCTGGTTGTATGAGGGTATCATCCAAAGCCTCAAGCCTTTAAGGACCACAAGTGGTGGCAACTCCTAGGCTAAGAAGGATAAGCGTTCCCAGACTCAGCCTGGAATGGAGAGTGAGTGGGAAAAGATTAGGAGAATCACTATTAGGTACAGAGTAGGCCTACTTGAGAAAAAAAGGAATGTACCAGAAAGGAAAAGGGGTTAACTCAAAAGGATTGCTCCCCAAGGAAAAGGACCTGTGTGCTCCTGGCATCCCATACCTGCAGCTCCGTCCTAAATCCACTTGCCTTTCTCTGCACCACTCCCTTTTGGTCACTGGGTGTTTGACGATAATGCTGCTTGAGGGCACACCTGTCTGGGCATCCAAGATTTGGACAACATTGCCCATGACTTAATTTTAGAGATTAATAGAATCCCTTGAATCAACCCACAGAACGATTCTTCCAGGACCAATTACAAGGAAATTGAGGCCGGGTGCGGTGGCTCATGCCTGTAATCCCAGCACTTTGGGAGGCCGAGGCAGGCGGATCACCTAAGGTCAGGTGTTCAAGACCAGCCCGGCCAACATGGTGAAACGCTATATCTGCTAAAAACACAAAAATTATCCAGGCGTGGCCATGCACGCCTGTACTCTCAGCTACTCAGATGGCTGAGGCAGGAGAATCTCTTGAATGAATCTGGGAGGCGGAGGTTGCAGTGAGCTGAGATTGCGCCACTGCACTCCAGCCTGGGCAACGGAGCAAGACTCCATCTCAAAAAAAAAAAAAAGACAGAAAGAAATTTGAGAGCAACGACTCTGCTATTTACTTCTCTATCTCCCACAGCGCCTAGTAGGCTTAATTAGAACATGTTAAAATAAATTGAATGAGAGGAGTATTTGGGGAGCTTCTTTAAGAAGGCAGCTAGTTTGTGCCTGGTTTTCAAGAGCAGAGGTTGGGACTTGAGAAATCTTTCTAAACTTTGGTGCAAGAAGTGGGTCCAAGAGGGATAGGGTTTTGAGGACCTCTGCTGAACCCCTAGAGGGGTCTTGGCATCACTAGGCACGCAGAAACCGAAAGATGGGTCAGGCTACCTGAAGGCCTTAGTTGGGGTATGTTGGACATTTCTCCATGGCTTGCCTTTTTCCCTTCGCCTTTTACTTATGCGCCTTCCAGTTGTAGTCCTCCTTTCCCCTGCCCAGACAGCCTCTCCGTTTTTTTGTTCTTTTGTTTTTTTTTTTAAAGACAGAATCTCGTTGTGTCGCCCAGGCTGGAGTGCAGTGGCATGATCTCGGCCCACTGCAACCTCTGCCTCATGGGTTCAAGTGGTTCTCCTGCCTCAGCCTCCTGAGTAGCTGGGATTACAGGCATGCGCCACCACACCTGGCTAATTTTTGTTGCCCAAGCTGGTCTCAAAACTCTTGGCCTCAAGTGATCGCCCACCTCAGCCTCCCAAAGTGCTGAGATTATGGGTGTGAGCCACTGTGCCCTTCCATATGTTCCTTACTTTCTCCAGTCTATTAAAACTTCTATTTGAGCCTCTTGTCTGGGCACAAATAGCCATTTGATACTGCCACTCCACTTTAAAAAAACAATAATTTTTCCATATTTCCCTAATACCATTGGGATAAAATCTAGATTCCCTAAATAGTTTACGGTTCCTGCCTGTCTTTCATCTCATCTCTCACCCACTTGCTCCCTATACTCCAGCCACAGGAAGTTTTTTTTAAGGAGGCAAAGTTTTGCTCTGTTCCCCAGGCTGGAGTGCAGTGGCGTGATCATGGCTCACTGCATCCTCGGCCTCCTGGGCTCAAGTGATCCTCCTGCTCAGCCTCCTGAGTAGTCGAGACTACAGGTGCGGGTATGGCTCTTTTTATTGAGACAAGATCTTGCTATATTGCCCAGTCTAAACTCAAACTTTGGCCTCAAACCTCCAGGCTTGGCTTCCTAAAGTGCTGGAATTAAGGCATGAGCCACTGCTTTCAGCCCACAAGAAACTTTTATTTCCTTCAACTAACTAAACATAAGTTACCCGACACATACAGTTCCCTCTCTTTGAAATACTTCTATCACTTTTGCCTTTGCCACCTAACTTCTTATCTTTCAAATGCCATCGTAGTCATCACTTTTGTGAAGCCTTCCTTGACTCCTTAAATCTAGGCTGAGTTCCTTTCCTATGAGCTCCCAAGCTTCCTCTGTGTCCCTGCTTAGAGCCCTTATTATCCTCTTCTACAGGGATTGCCTGGTTATTGCATCTCCTACTGGACAGAAAGCTCAAGGAAGTCAGGCCACAGCTGCCTTATCTTCACCATGTGCTTAACATCCAGTACTTAACACAATGCCTGGCAAGTAATAGGTGCTTTATAAATATTTGGAGTATTAATGAATGAGTCTGGAAAGAATAATAGCTTACCAAAAAGTGATCTTTATGATGTATATGGTCTCCCCAGTAACTGTTGGGCACCCAACAACAGTAGGGATTTCATATCACTGCCAATAAAATGCCCCTTGGGCCACACGGTGGCATTGACGTTGCGATTTTGAGCTTTTCTTTTTGAGACGGAGTCTCGCCCTGTTGCCAGGCTGGAGTGCAACAGCACGATCTTGGCTCACTGCAACCTCTACCTCCTGGGTTCAAGCGATTCTCCTGCCTCAGCCTCCCGAGTAGCTGGGATTACAGGCACGTACCATCATGCCTGGCTAATTTTTGAATTTTTAGTAGAAACAGGGTTTCACCATGTTGGTCAGGCTGGTCTCAAACTCCTGACATCAGGTGATTCACCAGCCTTGGCCTCTCAAAGTGCCGGAATTGCAGGCGTGAGCCATCGTGCCCGGCCTAATTTTTGAGCTATTTTGTTTCACTTCCCATCAACTGCCAGGGCAGCACTTTGGCTGACTGATTTTCCTTTTAGCCTTAAGTGTGCCCATGAACTGACCAGAACATTACAGAACTGGGCTGAAAAGCCATGGGATTCAAGAAAATCCTTATTCTGAGATGAGCCTCTTTCAGTTGCCCAATCCTGGATCTAGGCAAAAATGGACTTACTGTCAGGGGTGCCAGCAGACAGAAGCGGTTTTGGATGCTCTCGATGGAATAGCTCACAAAACCCACCCCTCTTACTAGGCAAAACCTCACCTGAAGTTTATCCTCTGGTAAAAGCTCAAGCAGTAGTCTTGCCATGGATACGGCAACTGCTGCCCCCTAGTGGTCTAAAGGGACAGGCCCGGGTGGGTGGGTTGGGGGTTGTGTGTGACGGGGACAGTTATGGGTATATGCACGGGGAAAGAAAGTCAGAGGACAGGTTGCCTCAAGTTGCTTTTTCCCTTTTTATTAAAAATAGACCCAAGCACTTTATGTATCATACAAAAGTTTCATTCGCTGGTGGCAGCCACGGGAAAGACTGGACCCGTAGCACTGATTTTCCACCTCCCCTCCGGGGGACTGGGTCCCAGGAGCAGTGACTGGGCCTCAGAGAAAGCCCATAAAGACTGCTTGTTCTGGAAGCAGCCGACTGGGGGTGGGGGCTGTTCCGCGTGCAGCTGTCCCTACCCCATCCAACAGCAAAAGTTAGATATTCGAAAGTGCCTCTTCAATGCCAAGATAAACTAACAAGTGGAGTGAAATGGAAACCCCTTTGATTCTTTTACTATTTCCCAGGGCCTGGGATTTGAGTTTTCCCTGCATGTGAGTCCTTTTCCCTACAAATAGGGGTGGGAAACTTCATCCTCAGAGACTCTGGTCTGTTCTGCTGCCTGAGACCAAAATTTCACTCCAACCCAAGCTTTTTCTCATTTGCTATTCTGTGGTCCACGATCTACTAGCCCCGTGACCCAAGGTTTGTCCTCTGTTCACTCAAAAAGAGGTGGAGCAAAAACGGATTCCTCCCACAATCCTCTCTGCCTGAGTCTACGCCCTGCCATTGCCTCAACTTTCAGGAACTTGGGAACAGAAGGACCCACAACCATCCCTTTCCCCCAGTTCTGTTTCTCCCTGACTGCTGCCCACTCCTGAGCCTTAACACCCCTGGGGTACACCCAGACCCCTGTTCCAAAGGGTGCCTGGTAGTGGATATGGTGGAGGCAGGGGAGGGGTTGGTTGGAGCCAGGTTTCCCCCAGGGGTGGGGCAGTACTCATGCTGGTATAGACTGCTTGGCAGGGCTGTGGGGAGGGAGGGGCATGCGGAGGAAGGGCACAGCCTGCCTGAGCCCCTCAGTCCCAGCCGTTGTCCTTCACCATGTGTGACATTTCAATGATATATTTCCCTTCCTTGTACTTCTGGCTCGTCTCAAAAGCTTGTTCCTGGTGAAGGAGAAAGCAGTGATTGTAGGACAAAGCAGTTTCCTTCCAGGCCCCGCTACCACCTGTATGGCCCCCACCCCAAGGCTCATCCTCCTAGCCCAACCCAGTAACTAGTTCTTTCTTTCCTCTTTGGACCATGCAAGGACCTGATGTGGTCACTGGGGCTTGAAGGGCCGTGGGGACTTCCACTTTAGCGGGTGACCCTCTTCCTCAGGTACTTACATATTTCCAGCCCAGTGTGGTTTTGCAGCTCTCACAGAAAATGTCAGCTACCGAGTGGAGCCCCGTGAGCAAGAGGCGCTGTTCAGCTGGCCCGCAACCCACGTTGACCCTGTCTCAGGAAACAGGAAGGACCCAGCACCCAGTGGGATTGCACTGTCAGTCCAGTCCCCAGACAGCCCAAGGGAACTTCCAACTGGAGAGAACTGGACAGCCCCTGCCTTTGATAATTCACCCCTTTAAGACTAGACCCTGGGCCTTCTTTTTCCAACGTTATGATTTCAATTCTCCCTGGGCTCCCCATGTGAGAACTTCAGACTGAGAACCCCTTTGCAAAAGGGGAGGCAAAGACTGAAGGCACAAGATCACCTGATGGATTCCCCCCTTTCTCCACAAGAAAATTATGTCACTCACACATAAGCACAAGCACACGCACAAGGAAAGAGGTAGACTCACACGGAGTTAAACAGGTAGGCTCGGCCATGGCTCCCTTGGAAGGACTGTGGAGACATAGGACAGACAGTGACTACCAAGCAGCCCTCAACCCCACTGCCTGAATCCCCGCAGGGGTGTGTGGGAGAGAGGAAGAGCTTCGCTGCCTCACCCCTGGGTGATGTTCAGGCTAGCCTGGTGTGCGAGAAGAGGGGAATCGCAGGTGCCCGCTTCACATACCTTGGAAATAAGCTCATCGTGTTTGGCCAGGTGTGCACGGCAGTGGACACAGCTGTAAGTGCGGTGGCAGCGGGGCAGGTAGCTGCGGAAAGTCTTGGTGGGGAGGCAGGCAGGGCCTGGACCGGGGTCACAGCTGGGCATGACGGGCTGGAGGACAATGCCCTGGCGGGCTGGAGGGGCTGGCGCCGTGCAGCCCCCGCAGAGACGGTCGCAGGTGAAGCAGCGGAGCAGGTTGGCTAGAGCCGTGTTTCAGGGCAGGAGAAGTGTTGGGGGGCTGCCCGGCGAGGGCCCCCCCAGACGAGAACCAGATAGAAATAGAAGTCACCTGGGAAGAGGAGAAAGGACATCAGGGGAGCCGTGACCTCAGGAGGGCCCCTCCTGGGGGAATGGAGGAAAAGGGGCTCAGCTCACCCATACCTCTACTTCCCCCATCACCATCGATCCCCCCTCGGCATCCAGTTGCATTGTTGCCCTGTCCCCTGTATCCCCATCCTGCTCTGGCAAACCTGGCAGCCGATCCAGGCTTCTGGCGCCAAAGCCAGGGAGTCGGTGTTTCTCCCTCCTGGGGCAGAAGCAGCCTCCACCATTTTCCACAGAGAGAAGCCCACGGGCACAGACGCTGCCATGGGAGCAACGTCATCTGCAAGTGCCCTCTCCTTGGTTTTCAGTTCGTGAGGCTCTGCATCGCACAGGCATTGGTAGGCACTGTGTCTCCGGGGATCAGAGTCTTTTAAGAGTTGGGGATGCCTGAAGGTCTTTTACATGGCCTTTGTTTGCAATACAATTGATCCTTTATACATTTTGGCGGGGGAGGTGTAAGGTGAGGGGAGGGGGAGCATGCAGGCAGGTATACAAACCCTGATTCAGTTCTCTCCTGAGGTCAGGGTCCTGCGCTCTGGGACTCTTCACTAGAACTTTATAGTTGTTTCCAGCAGTACCGAAGCCCTTACATGTGGCCGCCCATTCCCGCACCTTAGTTCACTCATTCTGGCCCAGAATAAGCACCTGCCTGTCTTCCCAGCCTCTGGGCCCCTTGGTCTTTCTCTTTCCTATTCTTTACTAACTGTTGCCTTAGCCCTTGGTTAAAGACTTAGGCAGAAAATACATTTTCTTCAGGCAATCTGACAGCTGGAGCCAATGGGAAATGGGTAGCGTGTCAGAGGAGCCTGATTCCTGGGCTGGGCAGGGCTGTGTGGTAGGGTGACAGCAATGGCTACAATGAACAGCAGAAGGAGGACTCTTATTTTTAACAGCTGTGCTTTGGGGCACAAGGCAGAAAATGTTTCTACCTTCTCCCAGGGGCAGGGACAAACAGCAGTGACTGTGGGTGACTGAAGATGAAGTAATTGCTGGGTTCTGATTAGGAATAGAGGAAGATTGCCTTCTGCCCACGCGCCAGCTTCCGAGTGGCTGAAGGTGCTGGAGGAGAGGATAAGAAGGGAGGTGGCCCCTGTGGGCTCCGATAAGCAGGTGAGCTACTGCTTTCTGCTTCATAGAGCTCCCAGCCCGCTGTGGGTGGTTAGCCTAAGTCTGGATCAGAGATGCCAGCTGGGCACTCTGGCAATGCTAGAGCACTAAGCAGAGGCGAGGCAGTGTTGGCTGCGGTTAGCCAGGGCATACAGACTCTCCTCGTCCTGTCCTCCGCAGTGGCCACAAGCACCCAGCTGTTCCACTCTCTGAAGGCCGCCAGGCAGTCTCTCCGCAAAACCTCCATAGAGACTATCTTCAGTTTCAGGTCCTCTCCTCCTGGCTGGGCCCCAGGAAAACACCTTGGGCTGAGTTCAGGGTGACATTGGGCTCCGGCGGCAGGAAACGGGCCCTCCTTGCCAAGAGACCACCTTTCAGTCTCTGCTTCACAGGTCTGCCTTCAACTTTGCCTGCGAGTTCCCCTCTGACATGCACTACCTTGAAACACCTTCAAGGGGCATGGAGAACGGGGCAGCTTGGGTCCCCAATCTTGGGCTCCTTCTCCAGCCTCCAGCCGTCACGCCTCCCTCCCTCTCCCCTAATTCCCAGTCAAGCCAAGGAGAGGCTGCAAGGAAGGCCAGAGAATCACAGAAAGGGGAGTAGGGGTCATTTTTTCACCCATCTCGGATCACAGGGAGAAGCAAGTTGGGCAAATGACTGGAGAAAAAACAAAGGCAAGCCGAGTGCTGGGGAGAGATGTTCCCTGAAGTGAGATGGGGCTGGACTGTGGGAGGAAGGGGAGAGGGAGGGCTGGCGGGGGCAACTGACAGCTGACAACAGAGGCACCGAGGCAGAGGCTGGAGGAACCAGGTGCGAATCTCGTGCTTCTTAGGGGGGAAAGAAAGGGAGGGGGACACCTGCTCACAATGGATTTTCTCATCTGCTCTGAGGTTTTGGCACCCCCCGGGCTGGTATTCTCAGTATGGTATGGTCCAAATAATTAGCAGCACTGCCAGCTCCCAGGGCAGGCTTTGGGGGTCTGCACCAGCAGCAAAACAATAAACAGTAATGCCTGATGCTACAGCCAAAGTTGCCGGGAAATAAGTGCGGGAATCGTCAGAGCTTGGAGAGGGATGGAAGAACCGAGAGAGAGGAGCGGAGGCAGCAGGGAGGGGGAAGGGAGGACAAAGGGTGGATGAATAATGCTTTTGCAAAGGGGAGAAAGCAACACGCAGCAGGAGGAAATTTGCAAAGAGAAAAAAATTCATTTGGAGAAGGGCTGCCCCCTCACCTTGAGGTCTGCTCCAGAGATCTCCGTCTATCTCTCTCTCTCTCTCTCAATCTCTCAATCTCTCTGCTCACTCTTCTCTCTTCTCTTTCCGCTCCTTCAATTGGGAAGGGGATGGGGGTGGGTGGGGGGAGGGTAGTTGGGGACTCAAGACTGGGGCTGCAAAGCTGGCCAGCTGCTGGGGGGGCAGAGGTTGTCTCTTGTTCTGTACCTCGGTCTGTGGGTGAATGTGGCTGTGTGTTGTGGAACTGCATCATAACACTGTGAGTCATCCATCCCCCCACCCCCCCTCACCTCCCACGTCAGAGCAGGGCTGGGAGACACAGGAGGCGGGTCGGAAGGAAGGGAGGGGGCAGGCATCAAAGGACGGGGCTAGAGGAGTGGGGGCCGAGGGACGCGGCGGCGATGGTGGGCAAGGGGAGAGGCAAGTTGTTAAGGAGGAAGGCAGTGTGGCCAAGGAGATAGGAAGAACCTGGGGGAAGGACAGGGCTGGGCAAGGATGCAGTGAGGGTGGCAGGGCTGGAGGAAAGGAGGTGGCAAGGCTGGTGAAGGAAGATATGGATGCAGAGTGAGGCAGCACACACACATTTAAGATGATACACTTTCCCATTTCAGCTTGGACACCAGCCCTGAAGCAGGGAAAAGACAGATGTACTAATTGTCATGGATGGCAAACTGTGCCCCCAAACTTGTACCAAGCCTTAAAGCCTCAGTTTAATGCTCCTGAAGGAGTCATAGACCCAATATGGCATTTTGCATGCAGAAACCTCTTAACAGCTACCTCCAAATTATGTGTGCTTCATGAATGGAGACACCTACATTATATGAAATTCTCTATTGGGCTGTAAACTTCCTGAGACAGGCCTTCTGGGAAATTCCTCTCTACATCCCAGGACCGCAATGCCTAGTACAGACCCATGCATTTAGATGTTTCCAAAATAGCAGTTGTTTCCGCGGCATTATGTTCTGCTGGCCTAGAGGTCTTAGTTCCAGAGGGAGGAACGCTGCCACCAAGAGACACAACAATGATTCCATTAAACTGGAAGTTAAGATTGCCACCTGTCCACTTGGGGTTCTTCTTACCTTTAAGTCAACTAGCTAAGAAGGGAGTTACAGTGTTGGCTGGGGTGACTGACCCAGACTATCAAGATGAAATCAGTCTACTGCTCCACAATGGAGGTAAGGAAGTATGCATGGAATACAAGAGATCCCATAGGGTGTCTCTTAATATTACCGTCCCCTGTGATTAAGGTCAATGGGAAAGTACAACAGCTCAATCCAGGCAGGATTACAAACGGCCCAGACCCTTCAGGAATCAAGGTTTGGGTCACTCCACCAGGTTAAAAAAACATAATCTGCTGAGGTGCTAGCTGAAGGCAAACGGAATACAGAATGGGTAGTCAAAGAAAGTAGTCATCAATACAAGCTACGACCACGTGACCAGTTGCAGAAATGAGGACTGTAATTGTCATGAGTATTGCCTCCTCCTTTTGTTAGGAACATGTTTGTGCATATATACACTTGTACTAAGAAAATATCTTCTTTTTATTTCCTTTCTTTTGCCTTTATCATGTGACATAAGACTTACTGACTTGATATCAGCATTTAAGTGTTGTTACCTCTATGTAATAGCATTTGGATTGGGGATTGGTGTGTTTCCGGTTGTACGAAGGGTAGCTGTATTATGTTAAGCGTAATTATGACCTGATTGTCTTTATTTGAAGATTATGATTTCAGGAGACGTGTATGGGTTCAAGTTGACAAAGGGTGGACTTATGATGGTTAATATTGTCAACTTGATTGGATTGAAAGATGCAAAGAATTGTTCCTGGGTGTGTCTGTGAGGGTATTGCCAAAGGTGATTAACATTTGAGTCAATGGACTGGGAAAGGCAGACCCATCCTCAATCTCGGTGGGCACGATCTAATCAACTGAGCCAGAATAAAAACAGACAGAAGAACGTGGAAAGACCAGACTGGTTTAGTCTCTGAGCCTACATCTTTCTCCCATGCCGGACACTTCTTGCCCTCGAACATTGAACTCCAAGGTCTTCAACTTTGGGATTCGGACTGGCTTCCTTGCTCCTCAGCTTGCAGACAGCCTACTGTGGGACCGTACCTTGTGATCATGTGAGTCAACATTCCGTAATAACTCCGACTTATGTATACATCTATCCCATTAATTCTGTCCCTCTAGAGAACCCTGATTAATAGAGTGGTTGAGTTGCATCTTCAGACATGAACCAAGTGTCTGGCTTTGGCTTCAAAGAGACTGAATTAGAATCTTAGCTGTGCCAATTACTCGGCAGGAGCCACTAGGCAAATTACTGATACTCTTTGTGCCTTAGTCTTACTCTTCTGCTAAATGATAATAATATTTACCTCATGGAGATGTAAATTAAAGTGATATAACATTTAAATGCCTGAAAAGTGCCTGGCACATGATAGGCAGTAAACCCTATTGTCATTTCAAAACAGCATTCTCGCTGGGCGCGGTGGCTCACGCCTGTAATCCCAGCACTTTGGGAGGCCGAGGCGGGCGGATCACAAGGTCAGGAGATCGAGACCATCCTGGCTAATACAGTGAAACCCATCTCTACTAAAAATACAAAAAATTAGCCGGGCGTGGTGGTGCGTGCCTGTAGTCCCAGCTACTCGGAGGCTGAGGCAGGAGAATGGCGTGAACCCGGGAGGCGGAGCTTGCAGTGAGCTGAGATGGCGCCACTTCCCTCCAGCCTGGGCGACAAAGCGAGACTCCGTCTCAAAAAAAAAACACACAAAAACAAAAACAAAACAGCATTCTCGCCAGGTACAGTAGTTCACGCCTGTAATCCCAGCACTTTGGGAGACTGAGGCAGGAGGATCACTAGGTCAGGAGATCGAGACCATGCTGGCCAACATGGTGAAACCCCTTCCCTAATAAAAATACAAAAATTAGCTGGACATGGTGGCACGTGCCTGTAATCCCAGCTACTCGAGAGCCTGAGGCAGGAGAACCGCTTGAACAGGAAGTTGGACGTTGCGGTGAGTTGAGATCGCGCCACTGTGCTCTTGCCAGCCTGGTGACAGAGCGAGACTCTGTTTCAAAAACAAAACAAAACAAAAACAAAAACAAAAACAAACAAACAAAAAACCCCAGCATTCTTGGCTGGGTGCAGTGGCTCACATCTTGTAATCCCAGCACTTTGGAAGGCCGAGGCGGGCGAATCACCTGAAGTCAGGAGTTCGAGACCACAGAACATATCCCCTAAGACAAAAACCCTGATTTCTAACAGAGGCTAGCATTTAGCAAATGAAGTACGACACAGATAGGGATGTCTAGAAAGCAGTGCTTGTGGGTGGTTTGTTTTTCTTCTCACACGTAAAGAGGGGAAAAAAGTTAAGGCAGGGAAATATGGGTAGTGGGAGACATTGCTAGTTGAGCATGAAAATAAAAAGAAATTCTAAATATTTAATCAGGGAAGATTCTGGGGTTTAAAGTAAATTCTGAAAAGACAACGTGGGTGTCTTGAGGGATAGTACCAGAGATTTGGAATTGAGAGAAAAAGCTAGGTAAAGAAAGAATAGAGAAGTGCTCTTGTTTGGGCAACAGAAGAGAGGGGAAATAAAAGTAGAAAAAGAATTTGAAAAGCAATTGTTGAGGAGAACAATGAGAAGTGGGAAAAGGCAGATGGTTAGTTTTCAGGGCATGGATCGAAAGTTATTTTGTTTTGTTTGTTTTCTGAAATGGAAGCTCGCTCTGTTTCCCAGGCTGGAGTGCAATGGTGTGATTGCGAATCACTGCAACCTCCACCTCCTGGGTTCGAGTGATTCTCCCACCTCACCTTCCTGAGTAGCTGGGATTACAGGCACATGCCACCACGCCTGGCTAATTTTTGCGTTTTTAGTAGAGACGGGATTTCGCCATATTGGTCATGCCGGTCTCAAACTCCTGACCTCAAGTTATCCACCCACCCTGACCTCCTGAGGTGCTGGGATTACAGGCGTGAGCCACAGGGCCCAGCTCAGATTGAAAGTTTGGAAGCAGGCTGGGCACAGTGGCTCATGCCTGTAATCCCAGCACTTTGGGAGGCCGAGGCGGGTAGATCACCTTAGGTCAGGAGTTCAATACCATCGTGGCTAACATGACAAAACCCCTTCTCTACTAAAAGTACAAAAATTAGCTGGGCATGGTGGCGGATGCCTGTAATCTCAGCTCCTTGGGAGGGATGAGGCGGGAGAATTGCTTGAACCCGTGAGGTGCAGGCTGCAGTGAGCCGAGATCGTGCCACTTCACTCCAGCCTGGGCAACAAGAGCAAAATTATGTCTCAGAAAGAAAGAAAGAAAGAAAGAGAGAAAGAGAGACAGAGAGACAGAGAGGAAGGGAGGAACGGAGAGAGAAAGAAAGTTTGGAAGCAAAAAGAAAATGATCAAGGATCTAGCTGGAGAGGAGAATAAGAACATATGATGACAGTATTGTTTGGGGGTGGGGTGGAGATGGCAGGAGTGCTTGGTGAAAGATTAAAACTGAGAAAAGAGCTGGGTGCTGTGGCTCATGCCTGTAATCCCAACACTTTGGGAGATCGAGGTAGGTGGATCACCTGAGGTCAGGAGTTCAAGACCAGCCTGACCAACATGGTGAAACCCTGTCTCTACTAAAAATAGAAAAACTAGCCAGGTGCGGTGGTGGAAGCCTGTAATCCCAGCTACTTGGGAGGCTGAGGCAGGAGAACAGCTTGAATCCGGGAGATGGAGGTTGCAGTGAGCTGAGATCGCACCACTGCAATCCAGTCTGGGAGATAGAATAAGACTCCATCTCAAAATAACAATTAAAAAAAAAGTGAGAGAAGAGAGTGTAGTCAAGCACAGATGCTTTAAATGTTGTGTCCTGACTCTTTCTGTATTTTAGAAGCAAAATGGAGAGCAGTCTAAAGGAAGGGAGGGGTTTTCTCCCCTAAGTTCAGCTTGAGATGGTTATACAATATCCAAATAAAAATGACTTTCAGGTAACTGGGAGAAACTGCCTCAAGGGAGACAGTAGAGGTGAAGAAACAGATCTGGGAGATAGATTGCATGGAAAAAGGCGAGGATAAGCCCACTCAGGGAGAAAATTTGCAAATGGAAGACTGGAACTGAATTTTTAAAGAAGAGAAGATTAGGGGACACCCAATAGTTAATTGAAAAACTAATGCATAGGCTGGGCACGGTGGCTCATGCCTGTATTCCCAGCACTTTGGGAGGCCAAGGCGGGCTGATCACTTGATGGTGAAAACCCCATCTCTAGTAAAAATACAAAAATTAGCTGGGCATGGTGACACGTGCCTATAATCCAAGCTATTTGGGAGGCTGAGGCAGGAGAATCACCTGAACCCAGGAGGCAGAGGTTGCAATGAGCTGAAATTGCACAACTTCACTCTAGCCTGGGCAACAGAGCAAAACTCCATCTCAAAAAAAAAAAAAAAAAAAAGCTAAGGCATACATGTTGAATGAATGAAATAATTAAAGCAAACCATCAAAGAAAACTCAGAAGTGACAAGTGAGGATGGCACTACTTGGGGAGTGCTGCTAAGTAGGACCAGCAGGAGAAAATCTTTCTGGCGAACCAACCAGAAAATCTTCCCAGTCTCCTCAATATGAATTAACTACGTGAGCAGGACTGAAAAAAGTACTCACGTGTAAAGTGAAGATGACAATTACAGTACCTACTGTATAGGATTCTGGCGATGATTAAATGAATTTACACCTGTAAAGTCCATAGACCAGTATCTGGCATATACAAGTATATAAATATGTTTGTTTTTTTGAGACAGAGCCTCGCTCTGTTGCCTAGGCTGGTGTGCAGTGACTTGATCTCGGTTCACTGCAACCTCTGCCTCCCGGGTTCAAGCGATTCTCCTGCCTCAGCCTCCCCAGTAGCTGGGATTACAGGCGCCTGCCACCACGCCTAGCTAATTTTTCTATTTTTAGTAGAGATAGGGTTTCACCATGTTGGTCAGACTGGTCTCGAGCTCCTGACCTCAGGTGATCCGCCCGTCTCGGCCTCCCAAAGTGCTGGGATTGCAAGCGTAAGCCACCGCGCCCGGCTAAAATGCTTACTATTATCATAACTGGACTCAGTTATGTTAATGTTTGGGCAAATCCCTGCACCTATCTTAGTCTCCTCCCCCATCTGAAATTGGATATGATAAAGCTGACTTTACAGGGCGGCTGTGAAAGAAGATGCCTGAAAGGGATCTGAAAAATGTTAAGTATTGCACGAATGAATGGTATTATAGTCCCTTCCCCCCAGCCTATAATAAAAACGTAAAAGCTGACATCAGATTTTTCTGTATTACAGACATTGTACTTAGTACTTTACAGGCACATTCCTGCAATCGTCAAAACAACTTTAGGTTGGGCACTGTTATTATTCCCACTTTGCAGACAAAAAACGATGTCATGCTTGAGCTCAGGAGGTCGAGGCTGCAGTGAGCCACGTTCGCGGCACTGTACTCCAGCCTGGGCGAGAGAGTGATACGCTGTCTCAAAAATAGAAAGAAAAACAAACAAACAAACAAAAAAGGATCTCAGAGAGATGAAGCCTGTGATTTGCTCAAAGTCACACAGTGATGTAAGCAGTATAGCAAATAATATAAGATTCCAAAGCCCAAGTTAGTAAAAAGAGGATTATAGACGTGGTGGAACCTGTTGGCTGCGGGGCAAATGACTGACCTGTAACTGTCAGAGATGTATGGAGGGAAATGAGTGGCCAACAAAAATCCTCGTTTAGTGGGAGAGAGGTTGTTGGGTAATGACGGACTTGCAGCTGGAAGAAATCATCGGATTTTTATTCTTTTATTAAAGAAAAAAAATTTGAAATGCCTTCCATGTGCCAAGCACTGTGTAAGGTGGGAGACAACTACTCGGTGCAACCTCTGTCGAGCTGCTTTCCTCCGCTTTCCCTACCCCTAGGTTTCCCCCTGCCCAAACAGGATTTTGTGCTTCGTGGCTTGTCCAGGCAAGCAGGCCGTCGCGGGACTTAGACCTAGACCTAGACAGTAAGTCCGCCTCTCTTCCGGGCCTCCCTTCTCTTTCCTGCGCTGCAGGGCAGCAGCAAATCTGGGGCGAGATTCCCGCCGCGGACGCGCACTGCCGAAGCCAGGTCCCTCGACCTGTCGCTGCCCAGCGCGGGGGCGCAACCGCCACGCCTCCTCACCCCTCCCTCCGGCCTCACGAATAATGACGGCCGCCGCCCCTCCCACCCTTGGCGTCAAGTTCAAAACAATCCTTTGACTACAACTCCCAGAAGGCCGAGCGGCTTAGCGAGTGCACCCGCTCTCGGCTGTTCCGGCAAACTACACGGCCCAAAGGGCAGCGTGCGACCGCGTGTCCTTTCATAGCGCAACTGCGGAACTGCGTTTGTTTCCGGCGTGGGTCTGGGCAAGAACCGCTTGTAGTTTGGTTTAAGTTCTGCACTGGAGGACCTTCTGGGTTTACCTGTTGGGCTCGTGGCTGCGCAGGTGAGTTAAAAAAGGGCAGGAACGCAACTGTCGCCTCCTTGTGGTCCGGGGAGATTTTGGTGTCTGGGGAGGCTGAACCTAGAGCTGCAGTCCAGGATCAGAAATAATTCATATCGTTTCCTTGTCGTTTTCTAGTTTACGAAGTGCTTTTTTTTTCCTCCCACAATTCCTATAAACACCAAGAAGAACAGTGTATTTGAGGAAGTGTAAGTGCTTTCCAGTCGACAGCTTCAAAGGTTCAGAGAAGTTAAGTTATTGTCTAAAGACACTACTAGTAGTTACAGAGCCGAGGCTTATGCTGTTTTCTGAGTTCAAACCCGGTGTTCTTTGCTTTGCATCCGTATTGCAGACGCCCTTTCCTGTTGACTAAGATGATTGGGGTCTGGGCATCTGTTACCTTCTCAAGTCTGGAGTTTGCCAATAGAGTGATGGAGGGTGATATAATTAAATCTTCTGTCCATCTGTAGGTATGGTTTTTCTCTGATGTCTGAGACATTAATTCACGCAATGTATTGAGGTGTCTACAGTCTGTCAAGCTCTATTCTAAGTAGTATACAGTAGCAAACAAAAATGCCCAAGTCTTACATTTTGGGATGGGAAGGCGGGGAAGACATAATATATAGTGAGACAGATGGTGATAAGAAATATAGAGAGAATTAAAGCAAGGTAAGGGGAAACATTCATTGTATGTTTTTGTTTTGTTTTGTTTTGAGACAGAGCCTCGCTCTGTCGCCCAGGCGGGAGTACAGTGGTGCGATCTCGCCTCACTTCAACCCTGCAACCTCCACCTCCCAGGTTCAAGTGATTTTCCTGACTCAGTCTCCTGAGTAGCTTGGACAACAGGCACTCACCACCATGCCTGGCTAATTTTTGTATTTTTTAGTAAAGATGAGATTTCACCATATTGGCCAAGCGGGTCTTGAACTCGTGACCTCAGGTGATCTGCCCGCCTTGGCCTCCCAAAGTGCTAGGATTACTGGCGTGAGCCACCAGGCCTGGCCAATTTTTGCATTTTTTGTGGAGATGGGGTTTCACCATGTTGCCCAGGCTGGTCTTGTACTCTTGAGCTCAGGGGATCTGCCCAACTCAGTGCCCCAAAGTGCTGGGATTACAGGCCTAAGCCACTGTGCCTGGCCCATTGGATGATTTCTTTTCTTTTGGTTTTTTTTTTTTTTTTTTTGAGATGGAGTCTTGCTCTGTTGCCCAGGCTGGCGTGCAGTGGTGCAATCTCGGCTCTCTGCAACCTCTGCCACCTGGGTTCAAGTGATTCTCCTGCCTTGGCATCCCAAAGAGCTAGGATTACAGGCACCCACCACCATGCTCGGCTAATTTTTTTTTTTTGTATGTTTAGTAGAGACAGGGTTCACCATGTTGGCCAGGCTAGTCTTAAACTCCCGACCTCAAGTGGTCCAGCCACCTCAGCTTCCCAAAGTGCTGGGATTACAGGCATGAGCCACCACACCTGGCCCCATTGGATGTTTTTGTAACAGAGGACTGATTTACAGTTGGGTCTGATATTTAATTTGTGTTCTAGGCGCAGCAGCTACACAGAAGAGATGGGAGAAGAGGCTAATGATGACAAGAAGCCAACCACGAAATTTGAACTAGAGCGAGAAACAGAACTTCGCTTTGAGGTGGAGGCATCTCAGTCAGTTCAGTTGGAGTTGTTGACTGGCATGGCAGAGATCTTTGGCACAGAGCTGACCCGAAACAAGAAATTCACCTTTGATGCTGGTGCCAAGGTGGCTGTTTTCACTTGGCATGGCTGTTCTGTGCAACTGAGCGGCCGCACTGAGGTGGCTTATGTCTCCAAGGACACTCCTATGTTGCTTTACCTCAACACTCACACAGCCTTGGAACAGATGCGGAGGCAAGCGGAAAAGGAAGAAGAGCGAGGTCCCCGTGTGATGGTAGTGGGCCCCACTGATGTGGGCAAATCTACAGTGTGTCGCCTTCTGCTCAACTATGCAGTGCGTTTGGGCCGCCGTCCCACTTATGTGGAGCTGGATGTGGGCCAGGGTTCTGTGTCCATCCCTGGTACCATGGGGGCCCTCTACATTGAGCGGCCTGCAGACGTGGAAGAGGGTTTCTCTATCCAGGCCCCTCTGGTGTATCATTTTGGTTCCACCACTCCTGGCACCAACATCAAGCTTTATAATAAGGTCAGAGCCAGAGAAAGGTGAAGTGGAGGGAAGGGTTGCTATCAGGGTAGGAAACTGGGGAAGTTTACTAGTTTACACTGCATTTTCTCAGCTGGTATTTCTGCTGCATTACTTCAAAAAAGGCAGTTCCAAATATAAGTCAGTCTCAGATTGTTAAACATTTCTGTGGATCTATTCTTAGTAATTTGTTAGATTTTTACTTACGGCATAAAACAGGAGGTAGAAGCAGCAACATAAAAATTAAATCCATGTTATGTTGTCAAAACTACAGCCATTAAAAGTGTCAGTTTTTCAGGCTGGGTGCAGTGGCTTATGCCTGTAATCCCACAACCTGGGAGGCTGAGGCAGGTGGATCACCTGAGGTCAGGAGTTGGAGAGCAGCCTGGCCAACATGGTGAAACCGAAACCTCGTCTCTACTGAAAATACAAAAATTAGCCGGGTGTGGTGGCCGGTGCCTGTAATCCCAGCTGTTCGGGAGGCTGAGGCAGGAGAATCACTTGAACCCGGGAGGTGGAGGTTGCAGTGAGCTGAGATTGCACCACTGCACTCCAGCCTGGGCAACAGAGTGAGACTCCATTTCAAAAAAAAAGTCATTTTTCTTATATCTAAAAGCACTTATTCTAAAGAGGAACAAAGTAGCCATGGGTTTGTCTGGGTGTTTTTGTTCTTACCTGGATCTTCTCTTTTGCAGATTACATCTCGTTTAGCAGATGTGTTCAACCAAAGGTGTGAGGTGAACCGAAGGGCATCTGTGAGTGGCTGTGTCATTAACACCTGTGGCTGGGTCAAGGGCTCTGGTTACCAGGCTCTGGTGCATGCAGCCTCAGCTTTTGAGGTGGATGTCGTCGTGGTTCTGGATCAAGAACGACTGTACAACGAACTGAAACGGGACCTCCCCCACTTTGTACGCACTGTGCTGCTCCCTAAATCTGGGGGTGTGGTGGAGCGCTCCAAGGACTTCCGGCGGGAATGTAGGGATGAGCGTATCCGTGAGTATTTTTATGGATTCCGAGGCTGTTTCTATCCCCATGCCTTCAATGTCAAATTTTCAGATGTGAAAATCTACAAAGTTGGGGCACCCACCATCCCAGACTCCTGTTTACCTTTGGGCATGTCTCAAGAGGATAATCAGCTCAAGCTAGTACCCGTCACTCCTGGGCGAGATATGGTGCACCACCTACTGAGTGTTAGCACTGCCGAGGGCACAGAGGAGAACCTGTCTGAGACGAGCGTAGCTGGCTTCATTGTGGTGACCAGTGTGGACCTGGAGCATCAGGTGTTTACTGTTCTGTCTCCAGCCCCCCGCCCACTGCCTAAGAACTTCCTTCTCATCATGGACATCCGGTTCATGGATCTGAAGTAGAGATCAGCAGGAAGCCTTGCTGCCTGGGACATAGAGATCTTCTGGCCACCCCTAGAGGCAGATGGGCTGAGATAAGAGACTCTGTTGGGGCCACCTGACCAGTAAACTGTGGACTAGTAGAAGTTCATATTCTACCTCTAAAAACAGGTAGTGGTAACCTGACTCTTCTAATCTGGAACCTAAAGGAAAACCATGAGACTCTAATTGGTTGCTTAGACTACCTAAGATGCCACTTTGAATTCTCTAAGACCCTGGAGAATTGCATTTCTTTCACTGTGCTACTCTGTGGTTTTTAAAAATCAATGCTTTATATTCCATATAGGGTTCTTACCCACTTTTCTAGGATGAAAGTGTGAATTAGAGGGACTCTTTCCAATAAAGTTCAAACTTAAAAATCATTTTAATAAATATTTTTGCCATGTCATAGAAGTTGGTATAATTTATTTTTTTTTCCTCTAAGTGTTATAGAAACATCATTGGAATGATTTATTGCTAAAATGCTTAGAGGAGGGGAAAAGCAAGAAACCTACCTGTGAGTCAAGTGAGTTTTTTTTTTTTTTTTTTTTTTGAGACGGAGTCTCGCACTGTCACCTGGGCTGGAGTGCAGTGGCGCGATCTCGGCTCACAACCTCTGCCTCCTGGGTTCTAGCAATTCTCCTGTCTCAGCCTCCCAAGTAGCTGGGGTTACAGGTGCCTGCTACCATGCCCAGCTAATTTTTTGTATATTTTTTAGTAGAGACAGGGTTTCACTATGTTGGCCAGGCTGGTCTTAAAACTCCTGACTTCATGATCTGCCCACCTCGGCCTCCCAAAGTGCTGGGATTACAGGTGTGAGACTCTCTGCTTGCTCTGCTGTCCAGGCTGGAGTGCAGTGGCGCAATGTCGGCTCACTGCAAGCTTCGCCTTCTGGGTTCACGCAATTCTCCTGCCTCAGCCTCCTGAGTAGCTGGGACCACAAGCGTCCGCCACCGTGCCCGGCTAATTTTTTTGTTTTGTTTTGTATTTTTAGTAGAGACGGGGTTTCACCATGTTAGCCAGGATGGTCTCGATCTCCTGACCTCGTGATCCACCCACCTCAACCCCCCAAAGTGCTGGGATTACAGGCGTCAGCCACCGCACCTGGCCCTGGCTGTGAGTTCTTATGATAGTTCCACTTTCCTTTGCGCTTAGGTAAATAGATGGTAAATCTGCTGTTAGTGCTGGATTTACTGTGGGGAGTTAGAGGCTGGTAATAACCTTGGAATGAGATTTCATCATATCTAATCATTTTCCAGAGATAGCTCATTTTCCTTCCAGTACAGCTATCCTTCTTGTCTATTTGATTGGAACTAGGCCCTAAGTCAAAGTATAACTTGAGCTTTCAGGTGGTAAGAAGCTGGGAAAGCCCATTCTTTTCGATCTCTTGCAAATGATTGTTTGGTGTCCCTAGTTTGGACTTGGATTACTTAAGTATCTGATGCCATTCATCCATTCCTTCTTTCCATAAATGTTTACTGAGGACCTACTCTTTGTCAGGAGCCATTCTAGATGGGGAACAAGATAGACAAAAGTTTTATGGAGCTTACATTATAGAATAAACACATTTAAAAAGGCAAGTGCTATGCAGAGACTTAAATTTGGGGGATATGAGACAGAGTGACTAGAGGCTACTTTTGACTGGGTGGTCAGGAAAGGCCCTTCCTGAGCATACATTTTGGACTAAGACTTGAATGGCTGTGTGAAGTCTGGGGCAAAACCTTCCTGGTGAAAAAAAACTGCAAAACCCTAATAAAGGAACAAGCTTGGTGAGCTTGGTGAAGAGAAAAACCAGTGTGGTTGAAGCGTGGAACCAAGAGAGACTGTACAAGATGAGGCTGGAGGGGGCAGCAAAGACCAGATAATGTAGGGCTTTTGTAAACCAGGGTGAAGAATGGATTTTTTGGCCCAGGTGCTCTGGGTGGTGGCCACGCCTTTAACCCCAGCCACTCGAGAATTCCTTGAATCCGAGAGGTGGAGGTTGCAGTAAGCTGAGATTGCATCACTGCATTCCAGCCTGGGTGACAGAATGACACTCTGTCTCAAAAAGAACAGGGATTTTTTTTTTTCTTTTTAGGAGATAGGGATCTCAGCCACGCGTGGGGGCTCATGCCTGCAATCCCAGCACTTTGGGAGGTTGAGGTGGGTGGATCACTTGAGGTCAGGAGTTCGAGACCAGCCTGACCAACATGGTGGAACCCTGTCTCTACTAAAAATACAAAAAAAAAAAAAAAAGGCTGGGCACAGTGGCTCAAGCCTGTAATCCCAGCACTTTGGGAGGCCGAGACGGGCGGATCACGAGGTCAGGAGATCGAGACCATCCTGGTTAATACGGTGAAACCCCGTCTCTACTAAAAAATACAAAAAACTAGCCGGGCGAGGTGGCGGGGCGCCTGTAGTCCCAGCTACTCGGGTGGCTGAGGCAGGAGAATGGCGGGTGGCTGAGGCAGGAGAATGGCGTAAACCCGGGAGGCGGAGCTTGCAGTGAGCTGAGATCCGGCCATTGTACTCCAGCCTGGGCGACAGAGCGAGACTCCGTCTCAAAAAAAAAAAAAAAAAAAAAAAAAGCAAAAAATTAGCCTAGCGTGGTGGCATATGCCTGTAATCCGAGCTACTTGGGAGGCTAAGGCAGGAGAATCACTTGAACCTGGAAGGCGGAGGTTGCTGTGAGCCAAGATCACGCCACGGCACTCCAGCCTAGGCAGCAAGAGCGAAACTCCATCTCCAAAAAAAAAAAAAAAAAAGAGAGATGGGGGGTCTCACTATGTTGCCCAAGCTGGCTTTGAACTTCTGGGCTTAAGTGATCCGCCCATCTTAATCTCCTGAGTAGCTGGCACTACAGGCTCATGCCACAGTGCCTGGTTTAAGAATGGATTTTACTGTTAAGAGCAATGGGAACAAGTGGGGAGGGGTAGTTAAGTAGAGTAATTATTTGATCTCTTTTTTTTTTTTTTTTTTTGGAGGGGGGAGATGGAGTTTCACTCTTGTTGCCCAGGCTGGAGTGCAACAGTGCAATCTGGGTCACCGCAACCTCCGCCTCCCAGGTTCAAGCGAATCTCCTGCCTCAGCCTCCCGAGTAACTGGGATTACAGGCATACGCTACCATGCCCAGCTAATTTTGCATTTTCAGTAGAGATGGGGTTTCTCCGTGTTGGTCAGGCTTGTCTCGAACTCCCGACCTCGGGTGACCCACCTGCCTTGGCCTCCCAAAATGCTGGGATTACAGGCGTGAGTCAGCGCGCCTGGCTGATCTCCTCCTTCCCATGCCTCTTTCTTTCCTTCCTTCCTTCTCTCTTTCTTTCCTTTTCTTTCTCCCTCCTTCCTGCTTTTTCTTTCTCTTTTTCTTCTCTTTCCTTCTTTTTTCTTATCATTCCTTCCCCTTCCTTCCTATTCCTTCCTTTCCTTCCCTCCCCTCCCCTCCTCTCTCCTCCCCTTCCCTCCCCCACCTTCCTTCCCTCCTTCTAAGTTTTGCTGTGTCACCCAGGCTGGAGTGCAATGGCATGACCTTGGTGCACTGAAACCTCTGCCTCCCGGGTTCAAGTTATCCTCCTGCCTCAGCCTCCTGAGTAGCTGAGTAGCATGTGCCACCATGCTTGGCGAATTTTTGTATTTTTAGTAGAGATGGGGTTTCACCATGTTGGCCAGGCTGGTCTTGACCTCCTGACCTCAAGTGATCCATCCACCTCGGCCTCCCAAAGTGCTGGGATTAGCCTGGCTGATTACTTTAAATTTTGAAAAGATCACTGCTTTGCAGAGAGTGGGTTATAGGGCAAGTGTAGAAGCAAAGACAAGAATTAGGAGAGTTTTGTAAGAGTGTAAATGTGAGAACTGGTGGGGGATGAAATACTAGGGCAGTACAGGTAGAGCTGGTGAGAGGATATTCTGAAGGTAGGACTTACTAATGGAGTGGTGAGGAAAACGATGGAATCAAGGATGCATCCTAGATTTTTTTTAACAAGAGACACTAGGTTAGACATGAGATTGGGGAAACTCAGGGAGTTGTCCCCTGAGGGACAAGGGAAACTTAGGGAGGGGGGAAGAAAATGTCAAGTTTTTTGGCAGTGTTAAATTTGAGCTATTAATTGTCCATGGGACGCGGAGGTTGCAGTGAGCTGAGATCGTGCCACTGCACTCCAGCCTGGGTGACAGAGCGAGACCCCATCCCCCGCCTCCCCCACCAAAAAAAATGCAGGAGCAAAGGAGGTAGGATCCACAGCACAAAGGTAAGAACTACTCTTTAACACATAGACATTTTACAAGGACAGGAAGAAAGATAGCAGTATTTAAACACAAAGAGGTTGACCAGGAGCACTGACTCACACCAGTAATCCCAGCACTTTGGGAGGTTGAGGCAGGCAGATCACTTGAGCTCAGCAGCTGGAGACTACCCTGGCCAACATGGTGAAACCCCATCTTTACTAAAAACACAAAAATTGGGAAATGCGTGTTCTAGCTTTCTGTGTGCTTAGGTGCCCAAGCTACTGAGGGTCTAAGTCTGGGCAGCCAGAGTGTGGTTAGCAAGATGAACAAAGATGCACAGATGAGAGGAGCGATTAACCAAAAGTTGATAGAAACTGGAGAAAGAGAACGCTTCAAAGAGTTGCTGAGAGCTAAATTAATTGAATGAGGTTGGAAGGATCAGTTGAAGGCACGCTGTAAAGAGGTCATTAAAGAACAAGGACTAGAACACGTTACTGTTGATGACTTGGTGGCCGAAATCACTCCAAAAGGCAGAACCCTGGTACCTGACAGTGTAAAGAAGGAGCTCCTAGAAAGAATAAGAACATTCCTTGCTCAGCATGCCAGCCATTAAGATTGAATTAGATTGTGTTGTTCTGTGGTTTTATTTCTGAAAGTAAAACTTGCCATAAATTAGAAAAGTTTCTCCAAATAAAATCTTTTTTTGTATGATGGTATAGTTTTCACTGATGATGTAGACATTGTATTGATTTTTTTCCTCTAAATGTGTTATTTTAATAAATAGTTCATGAATTAAAAAATAAATAAATAAAAATTAGCTGGGTGGGGTGGCATGTGCTTGTAGTCCCAGCTACTCTGGAGGCTGAGGCATGAGAATCACTTGAGCCTGGGAGATGGAGGTTGCAGTGATCCTAGATCACACCACTGTACTCCAGCCTGGGTGACAGGAGTGAAACCCTGTCTTAACAAAAACAAACAAACAAACATACATACATAAAGAGGTTGTTGGTTTGTTTGGTGCTAAAAGGCAGGGCATTCCTCTCTGATTGCTTCTAAACCCCAGGGCAGCATTTTGTCCTTATTTGCATGTTTATTTACTAGTGAGTTGAACTAAAAATGACCCAGTGGTTTGCCATCTATAGGCATGAGAAAATGCAACTGAAGACAATTTGGAAAAGTGTAGATAAGCTACGCTAGAAAAACTGTAAAGGGCC